TTTCTGCTTGCATGTACAATGTAATCGCCATAAGTTGTAAGAAGATCTGGAAAATTCTTTGCAAACAAGTTCTCCATAAATGCGCAGACAGCTGTGCTTGATTCTTGAACCAAAGTGATTTAAACTCACAGCTTGCGATTGGATTAGGAGAATACTCAACGAAACAACTTGAACAGTAAATATCTAAGCGGGACTCTTGTGCTAAAATATCCTGATTCTTCAATTTGTTTTTATCGTGTCCAATACACGTTTTCGTAAGGTACGATTTGATACTGCGGTACGAAGCCCGATTAAACACTTTTAGAGCGTCTTGTTCTCTAAAAAAAACACAAGGCACCTGGCAAAGATCCCCTCGATGCTGAGCTGTCCAAGGCAGACGCTGTGACCACCGAAAGCATCTTACAACCACTTTCAACACCATATGGGACAGAAGGAAAATCCCATATGACTGGAATCAGGGTTTCATCATTAAGATACCAAAGAAAGGAGCTCTGTCTGAATGTAGCAACTGGCGTGGCATTACATTATCATCCACTGCTAGTGAGATCTTAGCGAAAGTCATCATGAAGCGCCTATCTTTGGCTGTGGACCTTAAACTCCGCGAAAAACAGGCAGGTTTCGGGAGAGGAAGGGGTTGTATTGATCATATTTTCACGCTGAAAAATACCATTGAACAGAGTACCGAATGGCAGCAAACTCTCTATGTGAACTCTGTAGATTTTACTAAGGCCTTCGACAGCGTACACCGGCACAGCCTCTAGGCCTACTCTGGGACCTTAAGTCGCTTTAAGTCGCCTAAAGTCGCCCTAAGTCGCCCTAAGTCGCCTAAAGTCGCCTTAAGTTGGTATCAGTTACGCAATGTTAAAAAGGTTTCAACACACTCAAATTGCCCCTGTAGAAGATTATTAGACTTATAAGCATGTTAGGGTACACTCCACTCTAACCCTATGGAGGAGGAGGCACGATGACCTAATGGTTGGTGCGGGCCCCTATTGGGGATCATTGCATTGTGGTTGTATTCTCATAGTGCCTCTCCTCACCCAGATGTATAAATGAGCACTGGTTACGGAACGGGGGGGGGGGG